CTGACGCAGCGATTTCAGCGGGGATACATTCACTGCTGCAATGGCTTTGACGAAGCATTCTGCATCACGGTCCAGATTCAATCGGATGCGAGTCTTCATGAAAGATAATCCTCATAAGTGGGGAAGCAAGCTATTCATGCTGTGTTGTTCAACGACGGCGTATTGCATCCGGTGAGTTACGAGTGTTCCAACAGGAGCACTGTTTTTTTTTTGGCTCCTAAGTATGCTTAACATGTACCTGACATACTAACCCATTTGTAAACATGTATGGACAGTTTTGAGGTCTACTGTGGAAAACAAGAACATGCGGGTGTCAGTGGCGCGTTGACAGACTATATGTCTGGGCCAGCAGCAGTTATTCGCAATCTCACGGAGGTGTTTGGGCCTACAGGACCCGGCACAGGTGCCATGAGGCTGATCGTCACTGACCGCTTTTACACATCGGTTTCGCTGGCAGTGCAGATGCTAACCATGGGTTTCTACAGTGTGGGTACAGTGCAGACGGATCGTCTGGGGCTGCCAGCGTCTCTTGTTGGCGAAAAGAAGAAAGGTGAGAAGAAGAAAAAGCCTATAAAAAATCGCCCAGCACGGATCGAACGTGGTACGTTTGATGTAACTGAGCACCGGCAGATCCCTGGATTTCGGGCGCTGCGCTGGTGGGATAACAAAGCGGTGTATATGCTTGCATCCGGGGGAAGCGTTGAAATGGATCGCGTAGTGCGGCGAGACAAGCAGACCGGCGAGCAGGGTGAAGTTGCCTGCCCACGAGTGCTGAAAGATTATCAGACGCTCATGGGCGGAGTGGACGTTCACGACCAGCTTCGTTTACAAAGGTAAGTGTGCGTACAGTGTATATACATCTTACTTCGAGTTCTAAACGTGTATGCACATGCTTCATAGGTACTCGCTGCAACTTGCTATCAAGTACAAGAAGTACTACAAATCCCTATTCCTAGGGCTTGTCGATCTCGCCATCATCAATGCCTATATCATCTACAATGCTCGTCGCGTTGCAGATGGACAGCGCAAGCTTAGTCACGTGAAGTTTATCAAGCAGATGCACTTGGAGTTATGCCAGTTGCGGCCCGACGATTGGGAAGGACTGTTTTACGACGAAGATGCGGCAGCAACACCGTCAAGATCTCGGTCGAGAACGCAACAGCCTGGACACATTCCTGTCCAGAACGACGAGTGGCGCCCCGGTAACAACCAAGCTGGGAGGAAGCGTCGGACCCGGGTATGCAAGGTGTGCTCATTGCTAAAGGGAACAGATGGGGCGCGTGGCGGGGACTCCTCAATGTACTGCAGTGACTGCAAGCTGGCGACGCCGTCGAAGAAGCCGAAGGCATGGCGTGTGTTCTTGTGCGACAAGGCTCGACACAGGCACAACGGCGCCCTCATGACGTGCTTTGATATATGGCACAGAGTGTGGCGAAATGGTACGCTCCTCCCCAAAACTGCGAGAAAGCGGAACATTCGCGCGCGAACCCCAGCTCAAGTATCATTGGCTGCAAGTGACGAGGAAGGTTGTGTTTCATCGGATGACGAGTCGGCGGGTGCAGGACAGACCTCGCCAAAGCGAGCGCGTACGGTCGAGGCGGAGGAGTAATCGATTGTTGTGTCCGTAATTGTTTTGATTTCAGTATACTCAGTTTCAGCAATCACAAGACTGATCAGCATCTGTATTTGAGTAGCACGACTTTGTTCTATGAACGCCTTCTTTTAACACGGGAATGCACCTGTTTTATCAAGGTGTATACAGGCTCCACGATAACACCGCCTTACTTGCTGTTAATAGCTTGGAGATACACGATTGCAGGATGATGTGATTTCTGAGACTAGGTTAAGTGCACGCCTATCCAACATACACGATATCAAAAAAGCTTAATTTTAATATGTTAACCCTTACCCGGAGATACAAGTTTTTTAGTCGGATGGGGGCGCGGAGAATGCTTCGAGCTCAAGGGGTTAATATAAAGAAAACACTCGAGGGCAGTTCAGAGCAAAGGCAATTTAATCCTTCACTTTTTATGCTCAATATCGATGAAGTGAGACACTCGGGTGACTAGGTGTTAAGCATAACAAATCTTTAGATATCACAATCGGACTTACCATGGTATTTGCTCAAAAGTTCAATATGGAACAATAC